CCTGGTGAAGTTGGAAGAAGATGACACTGGCCTCCTTTTACCCCAATTAGAAGGCAGGCCAAGGTACCTGGGTCTTGGGGGTCCCAGGTGACTTGATGTCACATGTGGAATTATTATTTACTAGTCCCAAAGAAAGTACAGCGTGCACTGGTGTTGGTGAATACTGGTGTCAATGCTAATATATGGCAACACAGACTGTTTTACAGGACATACTGACTACCTAGAAGGATATAGAGGTCACTACATCATGGTCCAGAAGGTCCAGGTGGCTTTGGGTATAAGGCACTTTCCCTCATGCTTGTATGATGTTTATGTTTCCCCTGAATACATACTGGGGATGGACATACTGACTGGTGCTGGGTGGGAGACCACATGGGGAATTCCACTTGCAAACTTGTGTGGTAAAAAGTGTAGTCGGAGGTCATTTATACCACGCAATGCTGACTACGCAGGTCTGCTGTTGCTAATGTCCTTCACATGAGTATTCTTTAACCTTGGGACCTCACTTGCAAAAATCTCCCTTGAGCCCTCTGAATGGGCCCACACTGTCTATATCCTATTTTTAAAAGAATCAAAATCAACCAAAACAATCAATATAGACAATATCATGCATACTACATACTACATACTGATTAAAAGCATACTACATACTGATTAAAAGCAAAGTTCAAAAACTTTTTAAGAGCATTAGTATTGTTTGGAGTATAAAGCCAGGGGGAAAGTTGCATACATGGTATTGTGTCAACCATATGCATTTAGACACACTCAGAGGAAATAATAGTTACACGTGGGTGGCTGAACTATTAGGTAAATTGATCGTTTCTTTTTAGTACTCTGTATTTTCCAATAAGTCTTTTAAACAAGTCTTAAGAATAAAAGGGACATTTTTCTGTTCTGCCATCTGCTGGTGAAATCACGTAATATGCCAAAGTTTAAACGGCCTCTTTTTTCATTACCTGGCTCTCTACTTTTGTTGCTTTAGCTTGAGTCTTGTCATTTTTTTACTTTTTACTCTTTTTTCCATTTTATTTTGCAAATACTTTTTCATATCATGGGAGGATTAATTTATGTTAGGTATTAACTATTTTCAAGTGCTTACAGTCCTTACATATTTGGCAATTTCTGCCCTGATAGCTTAGTAATACATAGTAGAAGGTGTGTTTATAAGACCAGCTGATGGCCTCTGTGGAAATGGGTCTTAGCTGGGGGTCAGAAACTGTGGTGAAAGGACAGTACATTCTCTGGCAGGGACGCATGTTGGGCCACCATGGACAACCACTGCCCATGGCTCCAACAGCAAGACATTATATGGGAGCCACGACTAGCAGCAGAAGGAGCAATTCAGAGACTGCTGAAGCAGCGGTCTGGGATGGGAATATAAGAGCTTGGGCAGGGGCTCGTAGAAGACACTGGGTGGGTTAGACAGACTGGAGAGACATCCAACAAGTGGGAACTGGCTGGGAATTTCCATAGAGGCTGGAGTCACAGGTTACCCCAGGTTTCCAACTTGGGCAGCCTGGAAAATTGGGAAGCTCCAACTCAGGCAGTTGATTTAGTATGGAAGTGGGTTTGGGAGCAGCTAGGTATGAGTGAATTGAGCACTCATGCAAAATTCTGTAGCAGGCAACAGAAAATAAGGGTTTGAAAGAGATTAGAGAGCTACTAATACAGTGCTAAGGTACAGGTGAGACTAGAATTGATGAAACTGGAAACAGAATGTTGGCAAATCAGCATTTAAAGGAGAGGGCCTAAGAGATGAGCTCATGGAGACAGAGAGGGACGAGTCAGAAAAACTCCCAGCAAGTATCAGGTGGCAAGAGACCAGGCAGAGAGGACTGGTAACTGAACCAAAAGGATGTAAGGAACTAAAAGGATGTAAGGATGTAATGTAAAGGCAAAAATATATTACTTGGTCTGTCAACTAGGACATCACTGGTAATCTCAGAGACTAGCTTGCAAAGAGTAGCTGCAATTAGCCAGACTGTGGTGGGAGGTGCGGGGTGAGTGATGCCTGTGAATGGAGGGGGTCAAGGTATGGAGGTCTTCAATGTAGGAAGAAGGATGTTTGAGATAAAACAGTAACTAGAAAAAGCTGCAGTATGCCTAAGTCTGAGAACTACATAAGACAATCTGGGTAAGATGGTTGGTATAATGTTCAATAAATACGAACTGTTGCTATCATCCATTCACTAACCTTATCAAAACTTACTATTACCAGGACTGTTTTAGGTTCTGTAGATATAAACTAATAAAGTAGAAAAAAAGTCCTTATTCAAGGTACTTACATGGGGGGGGGAATAAACAAAATAAGTAATTCAAATTATGTGACATGGCCAGGTGTGGTGGTGCATGCCTATAATCCCAGCACTCGGGAGGCTGAGGCAGGAGGATTACTGCAAGTTCAAGGCCAGCCTAGACTACAAGTGAGATTAAGGTCAGCCTGAACTGCACAGTAAACCTTATTTCAAAAAGAAAACAAATAACAGAAAAACCCAAATTATGTGTCATATTTGCTTATGGTAAATGCTAAGAAGAAAAACTAGGAAAAGAAGGCATCAAATGCTGAAAAAAGAAATGAAATTTCAATTTTTTAAAAAAATTTATTTTAGAGAGAATAAAACCAAGCAAAATAAAACAGCCAATCAAAACAAGACAGTGTAAGTGACACAGGATTTCAAAGCAAGGTAATAGGAAATCAACAGTGGTTACCATACCTTCAGACACAATGAAATCAAACAGAACCAACAAAAACAAAACAATGAAAGCAATACAGGATTTCAAAACAAGATAACAGTAAATACAAAATGGCTACCATGATAGATTTGTTAACTTTGAAGTAGCTGCCCATGCCATCAGATACAAAATCAAACAAGATAAAACAGAGTAAAACCCAAATAAGCAAAACAATGAGAATGATACAGGATTTCAAAACAAGACAATATGGAATTAACAATGGCCACCACCTTCAGAAGGAGATCCCCCATATAAGCTACACTGCATATTATCCTCTGAATAAATGATCAGACTATGGGCTTAGGCCTGCAAAGTCAATGAAACACTAAACACTGCAAGCATTAAGTTGTATTTTACATCCTTAACTTTCTTCACAGCCTGTGTTTCCTTGGATCAGCCGGTTGCTTCCAGGGGTGCAGGGAGTGGGGGACAGTGGCTCTTCTAGTTTCTCATGTCTGCCTGCGCACTGCAGGGGGCTGGCTTGTAGCTTTCCCTGTCAGCCTGCAAATAGCATCCATTCCCAGGTCTTAGCTTCTTGACTTCCTGTTCTCTTCCCTGGCAGTCCGATAATGCCACACTATCACAGGAGTGGGCTGGCCTCTGGCTTTCCCCCAGTCAGCCCGCACATGGCACCCCTAATGTAATTTTAGATACTAAAACTTCACTAAGAAGGTAATTTTGAACCACCCAGCATTTCCTGAGATCTGCACCATGTTGGAACTTAGGGCACTATGAAACCAAGCAACCAGCCTGCTTCCTTGGTAAGCAGCCATGAGCCTACAAGGATCCCATCCCCGCCGTCCCCCTCCATTAGCAAATGGGAGCCAGAGTTCTGAACATCTCTTGGGAGGTTGACCATATGCAATACAGCAAATAGGGGTTACTTCCTTGTACCAACTCTTTGAAGGCAAATATTGTTAACACTGTTTTGCTTTGTTCTGATTAACTGTATTGCTCTATTCAATATTCTGTTAAGTTCTAAAACGTTCTGTATTTGGTTTGATTTGGCTATACCTGATTGAAAGAACAACTGATGTGAAGATAACGAGATATACTGTGGCACCTGTTACTGTTACCCTGATACCAGTTGTAACATTCTGTACCAATTTCACTGTACTGTCTCAATTCGCTATTTCTGTTGTATCTCATTACCTTTAAAAGAAAAAAAAAAAAAAGAAGGTAATTTTTAGGTGAAGATCTAAACGAAGTGAATAACTATAATTAGGAAGTGATGGGGTATTAGTCATTATCATCACTGATATTTTCATTCTTAATTATAAAAATATACTGCCCTTATCTTTTGTTACTGCTCTTTTTGCTACAATTAGTGTTACTATAATCACTGCTATCTCTGGCTGCCAAGTTGTTGGAACAGTAGCCTCTACTAGTTAAGGTTTAAGTCAGGAAAGCATATAGAATTTATTATAGGGAAACAAACATTCCTAACATGACATTAGGAATCACTGGTTAGTTTGCAAGGGCAAAAGCTAAGTCACACATGGCATCTTATTGTACATGCAGAAGCTGCAAATAAGAAGCTACTTCATGGGTGTACGGAGGGAAAGGAAGGCCAGTGGGATGTCCACACAACAGGACTGAAGAGGCACTGATGCAAAGGTATCTCTTAAGCAGCAGGAACATCACAATGGCATCTTGAATCAGCACTATAGACCCACAGTGTGTCATTTAAAGATCCTAAGACAAGATTGTATTTCTACTAGCATATTTATTTGGTGGTTAGGGATAGGAATCTGCCAACACCAGCTGGGAATAATTAAAAGGAACTGGAAATTCTTGCTACTTACCAAGGCAAGCACAAAACTGAGAAAAAGGTGGGTATGTAATGAGAATTAGCTGGATTATACTGAACAAAAGGATTAAATCTTGCTTACGACTGACACATACCATTTTACACAAGACTGATATAAAGTAATAATTATGCTTTGTAATAGAGAAAATGACTCAAAAAAGAAAAAGGATAAAAAAAAAACAGTTAATAAATTTCAGTGTCTGAGCACTCATCCTACCCTTTAACCTGTTTTAAAGACCACATTATTTGTGAGTTGTTAGGCATATATTGAGCGGCCCACACCTGCAATCCCACCATTTCAGGAGGCTGCGGCAAGAGGATTGCTGTGAGTTCAAGGCCAACCTGAATTACAGAGCAAAATTCTGTCTCAAAAAAAAAAAAGAGTGTTCATTTTTCAACAGTCAGGAAACTTTGCAGAGTAAATGGGAGGGGACAATGGAAAAGCTTTGGAAACAGCTGCATTTTCTAAGTGTTATTTATTACCAAAACAGGGCCAGTACAGAACTTGTACATTAAAATACAAAACTCTAAAAATTAAAACTTTATAGCTTAATTGGAAAAGTTTTCATTAACTCCTTGTGGAACAGATAAATATTTCTTTCCCAGCTATGAAACCAGAAGTTGACCACTGGAATGGAGAAGTAAAAGCCTATGAAGGAAGAAATTAAACAGACTAATTATATTTTTTGGTTCAAATTAACAGCAATTTACATTTTTAATACCTTCATCACCTTACCATACAATACTGTAACACATGTCCATATATTTACAAAAATATATGTATTATAGTCATTCATGTTACATGTTTCACTAAAGATTTCAGAGACTAATTTCATAAACATTATCTAATCCTCCTTTTAGCGTGGAAAAAGTGAAATATGGACTAGGGAAAGATTATGCCTGTGCTGCGGATTTTATAACCTGCCAGTCTCAGAGCTAGCAACCCAGTGCTGGTCATGTGTGACATCCTCTGTGGAAGAGGAGCATGCAGGAGGGAAAGCAGGAGACGAAAAGGTTGCACACTGAATAATTTTACTGAATTTGCTAGTGATATACGAATCAGGATATCAACTATCACACACTTTATTGTCTCCTTTTAGGAACACTCTTATGTCAAGTTGAAGCCCTGAAGAACATCTGCTTTCTTTGTGAGCTGCTGAGCCAGGGTGCCCGTTACATCTTCTGAATCCTTCAGGCCAGACTGCAGGAGGAACTCAGCGCAAGCCAAGTGCTGGCCTGCATAGGCCAGATGCAGGGCTGAGGGGACACAAAAATGACACAGAACATGACCCCTGCAGCAATGCTGATCTTGCAAGTCCATTGTACCAACAAAAATACTGGTTCATTCAATTACACAGACTTTACACCTTCATGATCCATCCCTATGACTTAGTCTATATTGGGTGACAATATATTTTTTAACCTGATTTGGTTAAAAGTATTTTTAAAGATAACATCAGTTAAAGAGAATTTAAGAAACTTTTCTAAAGCAGTGGAAGAAACTAATAGGAAAGAAGAGATGCTTTTTCCTCTTGCTCACTCCTGTCTGCATTAAACATAGCTTTTGTGGTACAGAAAACTTCAACATCTTGTTCAATTCTCTTTGTAAGTGAAAATCCCTTAAATGACAATGATATGGCAAAAAGCAAATCTGCTGACCCATCTTTCCATTCTAGGTGGAGAAATCAAGGGTTGCTGGGTCCTGGTATGCTGAGTATAAGAGTATCTCTAGTTCTGCTGTCTGAACTTGAGGAGCCAGCCTGGATCCCTGCCTGGGGCAGCAGCCTTCCAGCTCTGGCATGAGGATTAGCTGACGGCAAGTCTTTGAAGCATGAAGATTCCAATAAATCCCAAAAGATGGCCTTTGTCTCTCAGAACACTAATTAAAGGATTTATTCTAAAGTCCAAAACCACATGATTTATATCAGCAGACACAGAAAGAGCATGTGACAAAGTCTAACACCCACTCATGATAAAAACCCTACAGAAAATTGGAATTTTTTTTTGTATCTCAATCTAATAAAAACCATCTGTGACACCAACAATCAGCAGCCTACTAAATGGCCAAAAACTGAAAGCTTTTACTCTAAAATCAGGAACAAGACAAGAATACTCACTGTTACCACCTGGGTTTAATATAGTTCTGGAAACATTAAGCAGACCAATTAGACAAGAGAAAGAAATAAAGGGAATAGGAAAAAAAGAAGTTAAACTATCATTATTTGTGGATGACGTGATACTTTACATAGAAGACCCTAAAAACTACTGAAAGACTCCTCGATTTAAAAACCAAATGCAGCAGCACAGCAGAATCATTGACAACGCTCAATAATCAATGGTATTTCTATGCACAAATAACAAACTGAGAGAGAAATTAGGGAAACTTCCTCATTAGTATAGTGATGAAAAAAAAAAAAAAAGAAATTAGGGAAACAACACCTTTACAATCACTTCAAGAGGCTAGGTGTGGTGGCACATGCTTGTAAGCCAAGCACTCAGGAGGCTGTGGCAGGAGGATCACAAGTTTGAGGCCAGCCTGAACTACATATAAGTTCAAGGGCAGCCTGAGGTACAAAGTGAAACTCTGTCTCAAAAAACTGAAACCAAAACAAAATAAACAAAATAAACAAAATAAACAAACTGCCTTCCAAAGAAAATCCCATCATATTTTCATCATGAAAAATGAAATTCTTAGGAATCAATCTAATAAAGGATGTGAGAGATCTACACATTGAAAACTACAGAATGCTAAAGAGGATATCAGAAAATGGAGAGATATCCCCTATTCTTGGTTAGGCAAAACCAATATAGTGAAAATGGCCACACTTCTGAAATTGCTATACAGATTTAATGCAATTCCAATCAAAATACCAATTTCATACCTCACAGAACTAGGGCAAACAATCATAAAATTCATATAGAACCAAAAGAGACATACAACAGCAAAAGCAAATTCTGGGCAACAAGGGCAAGGAAGGGGCATCATAATTCCTAATTTGAAGTTATAGCACAAGGCTACTATGATAAACACAACATGGCACTGGCAAAAAAAAAAAAAAAAACAAAAAAAACAAAACAGATCTGAGGACCAGTGAAACAGAACAGAAGATGCAAAACAACACCAAGCATCCTCACCTACCTCACCTTTGACAAAGGGGCCAAACACCTTCACTGGAAGAAAGATAGCCTCTTTAATAAATGGTACTGAGAAAACAGCCTTTCCACATCCCAAAAACTGAATTTAGACTCATAAAATTGAAATGCATCAAAGATCTAAATATTAAAACAGAAGCAATCTGCTTTAAGATAGAATAGGTAAAACTCTAGAATGCATAGGTATCTTATGAATGAAACCTCAATTGCACAGGAAATATCACAAAGAATCAACAGCTAGAGTCACATCAAATTAAAAAGCTTCTATACAGCAAAAGAAACTACCAACAGAGTGAAGAGATAACCCACAGAATGGGAAAAATTTTTACCAGCTACTCATCAAAGGACTAACATCTAGAATTTATTAAAAAAACTTAAAAAAAAAATCAGATCCCTCCAAATTTAAAGACCCAATCCAAAACTGGGCATCCAAAATAAACAGGGATTCCTCAGATGAAGAAGTAGAAATGCAAATAAATATATGAAAAAATGTTCAATATCACTGGTCATTTGGAAAATAGAAATGAAAACACTGGGATTTCATCTCACTCCAGAAAGATTAGCTACTGGAAATCAAGCAATAATGAATGCTGGTGATGCTGTGGCAAAAAAGGAGCCCTTCTCCATTGCTGATGGAAATGTAAGCTGATGCAACCACTGTGGAAGTCAGTATAGGTTTACCTCAAAAAACTAGCATTAGATGTTCCATTTGACTCAGCTATTCCCCTTCTAGGATGTTCCTGAAAGAGTTAAAGGTATCATACATGGTGATATATGCATACCCATATTTATAGCTACACAACTTGTAATAACAATCTTGGAAACAGCGCATATGTTCATCAACCAATGAATGGGTAAAGAAGATGTGTTATTTATAGACAATGGAATAGTACTCTGCCATAAAGGATAAATTTGAATCATTTGTAGGAAAACCATTATCTTAAATGAAATGGATCACACACACAAGTTTAAATTTTGCATTGTTTCTCTTGTGTGAGCAAAGGGTAAATGAACATGAGAAGAATAGATATCGGGAAGCGGAAGAAAATGTCCAAATGGGAAGGGGAACAAGGGAGGGGAAAGGGAGGAGGAAGAAAGGAAAAAGTGCTTGTGTAAATGAGGAGGTGAAAAAGGATTGAAGGAAAGGGAGGTGAATAGGAAAAGAAGAATTGAGATGTGTTATGTACTAGTATAAATTCCCTATAATGAATGTGGTCAATATGTATAAAAAATATGCACCAATAAGCACAATTAAAAAAGAAATCCAAGTCTAAAGAATTAACCCTGAGCAGGGTTGAAAGTGTAGTAGCTCTGTGAGACAGAATATGTGTGCCCAGCACACACAAGACCCTTGATTTGACCCCAAGCATAAAAAACAAAAATATAAACTAACCTCTTCCAAAACTCCAAAAAGTAAAATAAAACCCTAAACAAACAAACCAAAAAACCCTATCTAAGAATACTATTTCTGAGCCCTAATATCTATACACTATTTTGAGAGCAGGTATCCGTAAGGGTTACAGCAAAAGTGCTTTTATGCCACATACACTGTATATTGCTATGGTTTAAAGTAACAGTAATAACTAAGGTGGTAGTAAAGTGTCATAATCATCCATCATCATCACAGCAATACCAACAATTCTGTACTTTTGCAGGAAGGAAAACTGACTTTAGGGAAAGGTTATTGGATCACTGGAAAAATATTAAAACTAAATTTTTATTTTGTTTAGTTTGAGGTGATAAGGACTAAACCCTACTGCCTTGCACATGTTAGACAAACACTGTACCACTGAACTATACTCCAGCTCCAAACCAATGTTTACGATATAAAAGAACACGTATTGTTTACAGTCAATACCTGATCGATTCCTTTCATCTTTAGCATTGATGTCAGCACCCAAGGATAGAAGAGTCTGAATTGTGCTTGTGTGCCCTTCCTGAATGTTGAAATAAATTCATTACCACTGTGTTGAGGACAAAAGCAAACCTTTAAACATAAACCCATATTACTTTTCTAAAACAGTAAACTCCTAAAACTGAATTTTCCGGTCTTAAAGAAAGCTTGTTATATCATTCTCAATTCTGCTATAATTCATTAAATAAGTATTTTATAACATTTAATTATTAAGATACAGATTTTCAACTTTGTAGGCCACAGTACTGACCTAATACAGTTGGGTTTCCATCAGTATAAATCTTGTGGTCACAATTCCAAAGCTTCTCAAGCAAACCTATTCTTTTTTTTTTTTTTGGTCTTTTTCGTTTTTATTGGTACCAGGGATCGAACTCACGACTGCCTGCTTGCAAGGCAGGCGCTTATGCTGCTGAGCTAAACCCCCAGCCCCAAGCAAACCTATTCTGATAAAATCTTTAGGGTAGAGATAAATTGAAAAAAGACCAAAATCCCTCAGAAAAGACAGAGGTAAAATTATATATAAAGTAATTTATATACTCTTTATGTAGCCAATCAGTCTATTAATATATAGTGAGAACAAAATCAAGGCTTAATCTTGTCACAGAGGAAACACTAGCTTTTCTCATCCTGTAGCCACGGATAGTACTCTCACTCCATCCTCACAAACCTCTCCATTTGCTCACAATGGGGAAATTAGACAGGAGAGTGTAGTACATCAGAAAAAAATTTATTCCTGCTTCTAGAAAAGTAAATAAAGGCATGTCGGGGCTGGGGGTTTAGCTCAGCAGTGTAAGTCCCTTCTTGGCAAATGTGAGATCGTGAGTTCAATCCCTGGCACCAAAAAAGAAAAAAAAAAAAAAAAGGCACTTGGCCACCATATAATGTAGAGATGTGTGTAAGACTCTTAGCACTTAAAAAGGCTCCTTTTCTAGTGAAAAAATTTAGTACATCTTCATTCTCTTGTCCCAGTTAAAGAGATTTTTAACTTCTGAAACTCAGTGTGAGGATAGAGAGCTAGGAATTTCATACTATGGGTCTTTGTGGCTTTATATAATGTTATTCCTGAAAACAAAAATTTAGGAAGGGGCACAAAGGCCAGGTATTTCATGGAATACAAGGTTTTTTTCATAGAAACAAAGTCATGTTTCTATTAAAGGGGACATTGGACTTAAGAGTCATGACTTTTTCAGGAATGTGAGCAATTTTTTTTTATAAAGATAGAGCTAAAGGAATTAGGAATACAGAGCTATCTATCAATGGTACTAAGCAAGTCTAATAAGCAGGGACACCATCAAAAGAAAAGACAAACCTTAGCTGCATAATGAAGTGCTGTGAGATGGGTTGTTGCTGCTCTCACATCTACGTTGATGCCAAGATCGGACACCAAAAATCGGATGGCTTCATCTTGCCCAGTGATTGCTGCCCTGTGCAAAGCCTGGGCTCCCAGGCTATCCTCAGCTGAAAAACAAGCCTAGGAGACAAGAGAGGAAAAAAGAAGGTTCAAAGCAGACACCTGGTCCATACACCTGCTGACATTTTGGCAAAACTTAGTTGTCTATACATGCTTCTGTGGGTAAAGGATGCAGAGATTTTGTCTGATTCTCAAAAGACTAATGGGGTCTCACTATGCAGCTCAGGCTGGCCTTGAGCTCACTTTGTACTCCAGGCTGGTCTCGAACTCGCAACAATCCTCCCACCTCAGCCTCCTGAGTGCTGGGATTACAGGTGTGAGCCACCATGCCCGCCTTTATTGTTTAATTCTTACAGGAAGCTTCTTATTTTAAAGATCGGACAGACCTAGGGGAAGCTGGGATCGTTGGCCTTGCCCCTCTCCATGCACCATGGACTAGGGATTTGCAGGATCATCAGCCTCGCTCTCTTTGCCCCACAGACATAGGGGTCTGCAGGATAGTTGGCCTCACTCCCTTCACCCTCACCCCATGGACCTACAGGTTGGTGGGATCAGTGGCCTAGCCCCTCCTCCTCACCCCATTGACCTAGGGGCCAGTGGGATCATCTGTTGCACCTCCTGTTTGCTCCACCACCTTAGAGACCAGCAGTATGGTTGGTTGCCCTTCCCTCAATCCGAAAGACTGCAGCAGCCCATGGACAATTAGCAACCTCTTCCACCACCTGCAGAATCTTGGTGGGCTGGTGGAAGTCTCAGCAACCCCTCACCCACAGAGAAGACCTCAGTGGGCTTGTGACAATGTGGTGAGTTTCCCTCTTAAATAGAGGACCTTAGTGGGTAAACAGGAGCAGCTGTGAACTATCCCCTACCTGTAGGACCTTGGTGAGTCTGGCAAGGGTGTGGGTGAGTCCTTCTTCTGAATAGAGAATACCAGGTGGGTTGAGGAGAGTGCCAACAAGGCCTCCCCAAACTCTGGAGAAATGAAAAGAGCCTACGAGACACCCAGTGACACAGAACGGTCCCAGCTGAGGTGCACACCACAGCCAGGTAGATCTGGCAGCCTGAAGCCATAGTAACAACAGGAACTAAGGGCTGATGTATATCGATACTCCTAAGCTAGTCAGCCTAGGAAGAATATAAGACTCACCCAATAAGCCCTACAGGAGGAATTCAGGTGGCTGGCCCCTCCCCTTCATTGTGGGACCCAGCAATTGGACAAATATCAACCACACAGAAGGACTCTAAGACACACAGGATGGACAGTTGAGACTAGTGGGATTGAAAAGACCAAAATATTAACACAAGGGGTAAAAATAACAAAGCAATAAAACAAAATGCAATCTCAAATGTCCAATCCATCAGGAACAAGTACAGGGGACAACAAAATAGAGGACATTAGAAGTCACACATCTGAAATTTCTGAAAAGATAGCAAGTCAAATAAAGAAACAAATCCATGAGGTTATAGAGGAAATCAGATTAGAAATAATCTTTCATGTAAAGAAATGACAACTTTAATAAAGGAGTTGTTCAGTGTACCTAGAAAAGACATAGATAAAAAAGTACAGGAGCATGGGAAAATGATGGAAACCTTAAATGAACAATATAGAAAAGAAGTAGAATGCATGAAATAAATTCAAAGAGATATCCAGGTAATAAAAAATTCTATTGAAAACTAGCGAAATCATTTGAATGAAGCTGAGGATAGAATTTCAGACCTTAAGGACAGGATCGCAGCTAGTGATCAGAAAAGGAAAGAACTTTTAAAAATAACAAGACAGCATGAAATGACAATTCAATAGCTTCAAGACGATGCAAAGAGAAACAATATAAGATAAATAGGCATCAATGAAGATGCAGGAGTCAATGCAAATGACACTATAAACTATTCAGAGAAATAGTAGCAGAAAATTTCCCAAACGTGGGAAAAGAATCAGACACAGATAAGTGATACATACAGAACACCAAACAGTCATAACCAAAATAAATCTACACCTACACATATAACAATTAAGACCCCAAAAATTCAGCATAAAAACAAAATGATAAAAACTGTTGGAGAAAAGTCACAACTCACCTATCAAGGAAAATCTATCAGAATCATGGCACACTTCTCAGCACAAACCCTCAAGTCTAGATGAGCTTGGACTAAAGTGCTTCAAGCTCCGAAAGAAAACAACTTTCAATACAGATTTATGTACCCTGCAAAATGTTCTTTGAAAATTAATGGAGAATGGGGCTGGGGATTTAGCTCAGCAGCGTTTGCACCTGCCTTGCAAGCAGGCGGTTGTGAGTTCGATCCCCGGAACCAATAAAAATGAAAAAGACAAAAAAAAAAAAAAAAAGAAGAAGAAAGAAAATTAATGGAGAAATAAGATACTTCCATGAAAAAGACCAACTGAAGAAATTCATGTCCACTAACTCTAGAAAGAGTATTGGAAGACACAATAGAAAGAGATAAAATGACTACAATTTCCAGAACAACAAAGAAAGAAACCACCAGACAGGGCAAGCAAATAAATAAGGGGAAAAAGCAGGAAATCAACAACAGGAAAATAACATGACAAAGTCCAGCCAGTACATATCAGTGTTATCTATTAAAGTAAATGGCTTCAATTCACCAATTAAAAAAAATGGGTTGACAGAATGGATTAAGAAACAGGCTTCAACAATATGCTTATACAGGAAATTCATCTGAATCAAAAAGAAACTCATAGACTAAAAGTCAAAGGATGGAAAACCATATTCCATGCAATAGGAACCCAGAAAAAAAAAAGCAGGGGTAGCTATTCTGTTCACAGACAATGTGAACTTCAAACCAAAAATGATCAAAAGAGATAAAGAAGGTCACTATAGACTTGTTAGGGAAATAATTCAAGAGGAAGAGCTAACAATCATAAACATATATGCACCAAATACAGAAGCACCCAACTATATAAGACAAATATTAATAGACATGAACACAGTTGTAATAGGGGACCTTAATACTCCATTGTCACAAAGAGATATATCATCTAGACAAAAACTTGGCAAAGAAATAACACAACTGAATCAAATCTGTGAGCAAATGGGCTTAGTAGATGTTTACAGAGTGTTCCACCCAAATACATCAGAATACACATTCTTCTCAACTATGCATAGGACATTCTCTAAAATAGACTGTATATTAGCCCATAGAACATTCTTAAGTAAATGCAAAGGGACTGAAATTATCTCATGCATGTTATCTGACCATAGTGCACTGAAATGGAAAATTAATGGCAAAAAAAACCGCAAAACCTACATAAACACATGGAAAAGGGTTCCAGTAAAGATGGCAGATAGATAACATCAGGCTACAGAGACTCCCTGAGATAGTCAACTTAGATTCACAAAATAATACAGCATGGGGAGTCCCGAACAGAGGGAGATGGATCTTCCCGACCCAGGAACAAACTAAGCTGAGAGAAATCAATTAAACATACAGTCCTGGTGCTACTATTGGAACGGCTAAATACTTGGTGCTCCTGCTGCAGTGCTTGAACTTGTGCAGCTGAGATTTGCCAAGCTACCTGAAAGCCTCTACTTCAACTCACTGGAGATGCACTCACACTGAGGTCGGGGGTCAGCAAGCTGAACAGAGAGTTGAGCTTGCGGGGAACCTGCATTGACCTGTGGTGAGTGACAGGAATAAAACCAATCCACAGAAAAAGGGACTCCAACAAATGACATTCTGGGCCTGGGCAGACTGCCAAGAACAAGGAGCAACGGTGACTTCAGTGAGCTGTTTCTTTCTCAAGTGGAACTGGTGGGGTGTGCTTGGCCTGGGTCATGCCCTGGGCTGAGACCCAACAGGTTAGCCCAAGCCAAGTCCCTACACCTAGCAGTGCACCCTAATGCAGTGAAGACCTCAGTAAGTTGACTGACTCGGAGGGGAGGGCCCAGCATATGCTGCCCCTGTTTGTACCTCCATCGTACACTGCAGTGGGCAGGAGTACCTAGTCAGGGCACTTCAGACAAACTATAACCAACAGAGAAAGAAACTGGGGCCTCCTATATACATCTGTATGGAGGGAACAAAAAATATGAGAAGAGGAAGCAATAAAAAGGGTCCCTAGCTGCCAACTCTGAGAACACTGATCCAGGAAAGGTAAATGCAAAGGAGATTGAGGATGGCAAACACGCAATATCAGACATGGCACCAGTGGACATAAAGCGATATCTTCGGGACCTCATAGACGAGTTCAAAAGTGAAATATTTAACCAAGTAAAGCAAGATATAAGTAGATTAATAAAAGAAATTCTAAGCACCTCTCAAGAAGACACAGATGGAAGAATGGAGGGAAAACAAAAAAAGGGGAGAATTGTTCGATGAAGAATATAAAGAAAACATAGAATACATGAAGCAGGTTCAAAGAGATTACCAGGAAATTAAAAACTCCATTGAAAGCTGGCAAAACTGCTTGAAACAAACTAAGGATAGATTATCCAAACTGGAGGACAGGTTTGCAATGTGGGATCATAAAAGGAAAAATTTCTTAAAAATAACAAGGAAACATGCAGTAACAATACAAAAGCTAGAAGATGACAAAAGGATCTATAACTAAGAATAATGGATGTGAATGAAGAAGCTGGAGTATAGACAAAAGGAACTACAAAGGCTATTCACAGAAATAATTAAGGAAAACTTCCCAAACATAGAAAAAGGAAATGATATTCAGATGTAAGAGGCATACAGAACTCCAGCCACCTACAATCAAAACAGAACTATACCCAGGCATATAATAATCAAGACCCCAGAAATTCAATATAAGAACAGAATATTATAAGCTGTCAGAGACAAGAAACAGATTACTTACAAGGGAAAACCCATCAGAATTACGGCAGACTTCTCGGCACAAACCATCAAATTGAGAAGAGCATGAAGCAAAGTATTCCAAGCCCTGAAAGAAAATAACCTCCATTCCAGATTGATGTACCCTGAAAAACTGTCTCTAGAATATGGAGAAACAAGATGCTTCTAAGATAAAGAGGAACTGGAGGAATTCACAACCACCAATCCAACTCTACAGAGAATACTGCAGGACATTCTAAAGGGAGAGAAAAGTACCAGGATTTCAGGAACAGTGGCAGAGAGGCCTCAATGAATGGAGCAGAAAACAAAATGAAGAAGACAAACAGACAACTAATGATGGAAAAAGAGCACAAAAGAAATGAGGCAGAGAAAGTTCAATATAATTTCTACTATAGATGGCCTAGATAAGGAAAAAAGAGAGAATCACAGGCAGAGTGGATCAAGAGGTAGGGTCCACCAAGATGCTCTTTATAGGAAATATAATTAACCTGAAAAACAGTATATGAACCAAAAATCAAATATGAGAAAACAGTACTCTATGTGATAGGAAACCAGAGAGTAATAGGGGCAACTGGACAAGTATTTATGGATAGGTTGGAAAGACAGGCTTTAATAGGTAAAGAAATACAACTAGAGCGCAAGTTTGGAACCATTTAGGTAAATAACAGGTTATCACCCAATATAAAACTGAGGGTGTTGGGGAGATCCAAAAATGCACAGTACACCCTGGGGAGTGAAAGGGGGGAAACAGTCTTAAAAAAGACAGCAGAAGATATTGCTAATAATGTATCAGGAATTAAAACCCACATTACTCGTACCACTCTGCTTAGATACAACTTATTCTGTCCCAGTTTCTATACAAGTACTAGATCTGAGGGCACAGATAGCTATCCCAAAAATATCAGGATATAGCTCAGTAATCATTTTTAATTTCCTATTAACTTAATCTGGATCCCTGTATAACTTACACTGTTCTATCATGACTGATCTTAGTTAAATCTGATTTGTATGATTGCTATTTGTTATTGACAGATTTTATGCAAAACAAAAGTTGATAGTATCAAGTCTAAAAGTATAGACAACTATACTGAAAATGACAATAATTCACTATGATAACCATTCTGGTTTGACTACTACCTGTTTTTGTAGTTCTACACTACCTACAAAGTTGTATTTCTACTAATACTGTTATGTACTGATATTTTCACTTAGACTATATGTCATGATATAGCCAATTCTATTGATAATAACAAGAGACAACACAGCAACCATGGTAGAACTCCTTGTATAGCAGTTTTATATGTCTTTTTAGTTTTATGTGTCTATAGGAAAATGTTTTGCTCTGTCCTGCTTTGTTCTGCCTCTCCCTCTAATATAGAAAGGATAGAAATACATGTTAAGACTCATGCTTGCGTAAAACCTATAAACAGTTTACGAGAACTGATCTTATGACACATGATGAAATGAACAAATACTTTGAAGGAAAAAAAGGCACTACAGTACTCAGTGCTGATTCTGGAGTGTCATGATGTGAAATCCAGCAATACTATTATTCTTTGTTCAGAGTGATTTTAGTCTGCTTTGGTTTGTTTAATCTCAACATAAATGAAGATACGGATAAATGCATGTATGTTTAATTATATAGGATTGATAACCATATTACTAAGTTCTTATTAGATAGTCGAACAGAACTATGTGCAGTCTCACTGTTTGAATTCCCACTTATATGTTCCACTTTTGTATCTTGAACAATTATTTGTAAGAGGACAATATGTAAACATCAACTAGTGATTTATTACTGTTTATATTTTTCTTTGAAAGTATGTATTATTTCTACCCATTTTCTGTTTTGTTTTGTCTTTCTTTAAATAAAATTTTAAAAAATAAACACATAGAAATTAAATAACAACCCCTTGAACAACCAAAGATTATTGGTGAAATTAAAGAAGAAATTAAACAACACCTACAATTCAATAAAAATGCAGATACAGTATACCAAAACCTGTGGGATACTGTGAAAGCAGTCCTAAGAGAAAATTATATAGCAATGAACTGCCATATCAGGATAACAGAAGGAGCACAAATAAACAACCTAATGCTACACCTCAAACTTCTAGAAAAAGACGAACAAGTCAGTGTATGAATTACCAAAGCTGTATCAAGAAGATATAACAATTCTGAATAACTCAGTATCAGTTACCAAAATTGAAAATGTGATTAAAAACTTACCAACAAAGAAAAGTCCAAGTCCTGATGAATTTACAGCTGAATTTTATAAAGAATTTAGAGAAGATTTAATGTCAATACTCCTCAAACTTTTCGATGCAATTGAAAGGGACACAATTCTTAACTCATACCTTACTCTGATATTAAAAACAGAGAGAGATGCAACCAAAAAAGGAGAATTATAGGCCAATTTTGCTAATGAACATGGATGCAAAAATTCTCAATAAAATACTGGCAAAGAGAATGCAGTAAATCATTAAGAAGATTATATACCATAACCAAGTGGGATTTATTGCAGGAATGCAGAGATGGCTTAACATATGCAAATCAATAAATGTAATACACCACATCAACAGTGCCAAAGACAAAAATCACATGATCATTCAATAGACACAGAAAAAGCTTTTGATAAAGTCCAACATTTGTTCATCATAAAAACCCTACAGAAACTTGGAATAGATGGCATCTACTTCAATCTGATAAAAGTCATATATGACAAACCAATAGCCAATATTATACTAAATGGTCAAAACCTGAAAGCTTTCACTCTAAAATCAGGGAATCAGACAAGGATGTCTACTATCACCACTCCTATTCAATATAGTTCAGTAATAATAAGCTAGAGCAATTAGATAAGAGAGAAAAATAAAGCGAATAAGGATATAAAAGTAAGAAGTCAAATTATCACTATTTGCAAACATGATATTCTACATAGAAGATCCCAAAAACTCCATGAAAAGACTACTAGAGTTAATAAGCAAATTCAGCAGTGTAGCCAGATACAGTGTCAGCACTCAAAAATCAATAGTATTCCTGTACACAAACAACAAACCCACTGAGAGAGAAATTACAGAAATGATTCCTTTTACAATAGCATTCAAAACAGTGAAATACTTAGGAATCACCCTAACAAAGGATGTAAAAGACCAATATATTAAAAAAACTACAGTACTCTAAAAAAGGAAAGGTATTTTTTGCTGTTGGTTAGGAAAAACCAACATTGTGAAAATGGTTATACTCCCAAAATTGTTATACAGGTTTAATGCAATTCTGATCAAAATGCCAAAATCATACTTTACAGATGTAGAGAAAACATTCCTAAAATTCATTTGAAAACAGAAGAGACCTAGAATAGTAAAGGCAATCCTGGGCAACAAAGGCAAGGCAGGAGGTATCACAATCCCTAACTTGAAATTATATTACAAAGCTACAGTGATAAAATCAGCATGGTGTTGGCGACAAAACCAAACCCAAAAACAGACCTGAGGATCAATGGAACAGATTAACAGATGAAGACACAACTACAAAGACACTTTGCCAACTTATCTTTGACAAATGAGCTAAACACATTCACTGGAAGAAAGACAGCCTCTTTAATAAATGGTGCTGGAAAAAGTGGCTTTCCACATGCTAAAGACTGAAACTAGACTGATGTTTATCACCACGCATTAAACTAAAGTCAAAATGGATCAAAGACCTAAATATTGAAACAGAAAAACTAAATCTGCTAGAAGATAAGGTAGGTAGAAATCTTGAAGATATCTGAGTAGGGAAAGAGTTTATAAACAAAATGCAAACTGCATAGGAAGTACTTCCCAGAATCAACAACTGGGCAGCCAAATTCAAAGACCTAATCCGAAAAGGGTATCTGAAATGAACATGCACTTTTAAGATAAAAAAATACAAATGGCAAATAAATACATGAAGACATGCTCAACATCACTGGTCATTTGAGAAATGCAAATTAAAACAATACTAAGATCCCTTCTCACTCCAGAAAGAAAGGCTGCCATCAAGAAATCAACCAATATCACATGTTGGTGGATCTGTGGGGAAAAAGGAACACTTCTCCACTGTTGGTGGGAGTGTAGACTGGTGCAACCATTGTGGAAATCAGTATGGAGATTCCTCAAAAAACTAGGATTGCAAGTCCTATTTAATCTAGCTATTCTTCTTCTGAGTATTTTCCCAGAAAAACTGAAAATGTCATGCCACCATGCTATATGTCCATCCATGTTTGTAGCATCACAATTTGTAATAGCTAAATCTTGGAAAAACCAAAATGCCCATCAACTTCAAAATGGATAAAAAAGTTGTGGTATTTTTATATAACGGAACATTACTCAGTTATAAAAAAGGATAATCTTGAGGCTTTTATATGCAAATGGAGGCAACTTGAGACCATACTCATAAGTGAAATAAATCAATATTATAAATATTATTTTGTCTTCCTATAAAAAAGTAAAAATCTGAAAGAGCAATAAGATCCAAAATATACAATAGATATTGTAATAATGAAAGGGAAATGAAGTGCTCAAAAGGACAGAACTACTGGGAAAGGGGAAAGGAAAAAAGGAAGAAAGGAAAAGAACACATGTATGTTTGTAAGCATATATAAATGTATGTATGTATAAGTATGCACACAGATAACTACACTACTTTTTTTTTTTTTTTGTCTTTTTCTTTTTTTTTTTTTTTATCGGTACCGGGGATCGAACTCATGACCGCCTGCTTGCAAGGCAGGTGCTTATGCCGCTGAGCTAAATCCCCAGCCAATAACTACACTACTAATATCTCTTAGTTCATCAAAAGAACAGTTTGTGCTATCATTGATTGAGCACTTTGTGCTTAGATTTTATAACCTGAACTAAGTCTGATAGCAATATGCAAATATTAACTAGTGTTAATTCCCTATTTTTTTCTTTTTTGAAACTCTGTATCATTTCTGTTCTTTTTTTCTGTTTTACTTTTTAAAATAAAAAAGAAAGAAAGATGGGACTACTGATACACATTAATGGTTAAAGAGGTCAAGGAGCTCCCCTGGAGAAGTTGGCAGAGCCGGGATTTGAGTACTGTGATCTGTTTATCCTGTAACCTAAAATTTGTTGGAAGAACCAGGAGAATAAAACAAAACCATTTTAATACCTTATGTGTTTTGAGCAGCAGCTTGGCTATGTCGATGTGACCGCACTGAACTGCATCCATAAAGGGGGTAATGCCACAGTTGTCCTTGCAGTCTGGTTCATACTGGCACCTAGAGCCCAAACCGAAAATAACCACATGTGAATATTCACCATTTGAAACTCAAGGGACAGTTCACACCTGATCACCTCAGGTAGACTGTAAGCTTTTCAGAGATGGTCTGTGACAGTCTGGAGCTCTCCCCTTCTGTTTTCATCTCAGTATTGACATTGAGCCCTCAGTCTTTAGGAGCTTCTTCTCTGTCCCATCTGATGGCATTTTTGCCTCACCAGTTCCTCAAGCCAGAAGCTAAATGGTTCTTGTTATCACTTTACCCTTATCTCTCATAATCCAGTTGTCTCAGTTCTGCAGCGGAACCCTGCAAAACATCTGTATCTTTCCCTCATCTCTGCTTTCCCCTCTTACAACTAAATTAACTGCAGACAACTTTCTGATGTTCCTTTTGACTCCTGCCTGGTCCTACCATTTTCCACAGCAACCAGTCCTCTCGCCAGTGTCAATGGATAAACCCTCTTCTGCTCAAAACATTTAACTACTTTCCAGTCCAATTATTTACGTAAAAGATGAACAAAAATGTTGTATTTTTTAAATTTTTATAATAGAAAGTATAAAAACAACTTATTAAATAAAATTTTTCTGTATGGTGTATCTTAAAACATTCAATTCAATGTTCAATGATATGTTACGATCTTGACAATAGTAGCTAATGTCTTTCCTAATTCTTTTTGTATTACTGTCTGTCTTTGAACAACATACTACACTGTTATGTCATTCTTTTCTCTTTACCTGTGGGTGGTATGTCCAGGGGGCTAGAGATGTAGCTCAGTAGTAAAGCACTTGCCTAGCATGCACAATGCCCTAGGTTCAACTCCCAGCCCTGGAAAAAACACTAAACTAAAAATAAAATAAAATAACATAAAATGTCTACCCACTGAAGGTTTAATGATGAAGACATTGATGATGGACATCCTGGTTGGCATTTTGCCATCCCATATTTTTCAATTATTTGGTTTATTACAACTAATGTAAATTGTAAATGACTTTTGAACCCTCTTGTTTTGAATAAATAACAAACGAGTTTCATATTGTTTGGTCTAGAAGGTGCATAACTTTTCCTTTCTGATATGCTAACATTTCTCCCCTTTCCCAGTTTTTCCTTCTGCAGATCTTTCGGTACTTCCTTCCTATTCATTTTGCATATTCTAAATGTGTCCATTTTGCATTGCAAAAGAGTATCACTCAGATCTGGAGAAGTATAAAATTATACCTACTGTACTTACAATAAGTTTTTATAGATTGTTGCACAAGATTATAGTTTATTTTTCACAAACAAAATAAACATAAATTACTAAAAGAAAATAACCATAACTTATTAGATTTCACTAGAAACAAACATCAAAGGTGGCCAAAGATTTAGCTGAGCAGCATAAGCATCTGCCTGGTAAGTGTGAGGTTGTTGAGGTCGATCCTCGGACCCCCCCCCCAAAAAAAAAACACATTAAATGCGGATATGACTTTCTAAATAAACGGTATGCAAAAGATAGTCGATAGAAAACAAATATACAAATGTGTATCTCATACAACTGAGAATTGACTGGTTGAAATGACACCTACATGTGCAATGCTCAGTATAATATGTAAACAAAGATGCCACTTGAGTGATGCTCATGGCAAACTGTTAACTACTTCCTGGTTCACAAAGGACACAAATGTCACAATTCAGCATCATCTCCAAAGACCAGGATCACATGGCACCTGCTCATGTTTCTCCGGGTTGCCACACTCCTCCCAACTCCTCTGCTTCCTGATCCTCTCTGGTTGCTGAGCACCATCTTGGAACATGACTGCTCATTCTTCCTTTGGCGAACTCCAATTTATCCAAATCTCACTGTATACTGAAAATAACAGAGGCCTTTCCTTATCAAGCCTAACCTACACGAATACCTTTGTTCTCCTTCAGCATTCTGTACTTTTCCTGTTGCAGTACTATAACTTGTAGCTCTATACTTGTGAGATTATTTATCTATACCAGTCTTCCACACAAGGTGTTATGGTTGTATCTAAATGTCCCCCCAAAGCCTTGTGTGCTCATAGGTGGGGCTTTTTGGAGGTGGCTGGATCTAGTGATCCTATGACATGTGAGCTGCAGCAGGAATGCAGAGCCTGCTCTATCTGCATGAGCCGAGTTACCCCAGCATTACCCCAGCAGCTGAAGATCAGATAACAGTGCACATAGGGGCCATGCACATGCTCAGAAAGGGATAGTGATGCCAGCCAATGACATTATGAGCAGTTTGGGCACTTAGTCTCTAAAGGCTGCCATTGCTTACCTAGGGTGCATGATACTAGGATTAAGGGTATATGACAACTGAGTGGGTTTAACATAGTTCTAGATGTGGATGGCACCAAACACTAAGTTTATAGCCTGGATGGAATATGAAGAGGGAGAGGGAAGGCAGGCTTCACTGCCTCCTGCCTGCTTTGTCATGGACTGTTTCTCTTCTGCTTTGCGCCTCTGCTACAGCACTGTCTTGGAACCAGCTGATTACAGACTGAAAGTTCTACAAACTGAGATCTAAAACAAACCTTTTCTCTTTTAACTTGGGTGTGAGGTTAGTAGTGCCTTAGTTCACCAACTTAATTCTTCGCATGATTTGTGGAAAACTGTGGTACCATTGTATTTTGTCTCAGCAATGAGAAAAGTAACTAAGACACTAGGTTATAGGCTCCAATACAGGAAAGACTGTGTATTACCCAGAGTCTGATGTGAAAGCATTCAAAAAAGTTGTTTCTTAAATGAAAGAAAAACTGTAGGTTTGAATGGAACCAAGTATGCTTCTATTTGTAGTAGGCAAGCACTCCACATAGCAGTTTTCTAACGATATATTGTTTCCTCAGATCATTTCATATATTTCTGATCTCAATTGTCAGCACTATGTTTACAAACCTCACATTTGTGTCTTTGTTGATCTATGTCTCTAACTGCCGTACAAGGATATCTGGCAGGCACAAGTCTAAAAATGCAATTATCATCTTTTCTCCAGAGCTGCTTATTTTCCAGTGTTTAATTCTCTGCAAGTGCTACCAGCAGAACCACCCTGAAAGTATTCCTTTAAAATCTTCTTGCTTGGTTGCTTGATTGATGGTGCTGGAGATTGAAACCAGGGTATTACACACGCTAGGCAAATGTTCTAGCACTGACCTACGTCCCTAGTTTCCAGAGGGTAGTTTATATTAAGTACTGTATAAATATATACATGTTTGTTGAATATAGGGATAAGCAGCTTTGTCACCAAAATTTTGTCATGTTTAACCATTTTGGCTTTATACCCTGAATTGTCTGCTTATATTCTTTGTTTTCTTTTGAAAGTTTTTTTCTGAATGTTTCAGTCTTTTATATGACACATATTAACTCATAATTAACACATTATTTTCCCCAATTTACTGTTTTGTTCTTACCTTGTAAGAAGCACCTTTACTGCTTCTAAACAGCCATGCATTGCTAGAAGATGATAGTTGGAAGATTAGAACTTTCTAATGTATACATAAAATGCTTCATACATAAAATGGCTAGGGATATATAGCTTGTTTGGTAGAACATTTGAGTAGCATGCACAAGGCCTTGGGTTTGATCCCCACATTGGGAAAAAAAAATTGATCTTTTTTCCTGGCTCTCCTCTCTGCCCCATTTTTTAGTTAGGACCTATAGAAAGGAGCAACTAAAATTGATATGCTGCTACTTCTTCTTCTTCTTTTTTTTTTTTTTTTTTTTTTGTACTGGGGATTGAACTCACAACCTAGTGCTTGCCAGGCAGGCACTTTTGCTGCTAAGCTAAATCCCTAGCCCCTGATAAGCTATTACTTCTTTTTCTCTCCACCTATCTCTCCATTTTTGTGCTGCAAATCTCTAAGATCAGCTTTTTTTCATGAATGAGAAAACATTTTTCAAAAGCAACCAATGACAAAACCAGGAATTTAGTTTTCCTACTAAAAATAACTATACTCAGTTGGGTATGTAGGGGTACACTTGGAATCCCAGCACTGGGGAGGCTGAGACAAAAGGACTGTCATGAATTTAAGGCCAGCCAGGGTTACAAAGTGAGTTCAAGGCCTGCCTGAACTACATAGTGACACTCTGTCTCGAAATGAAACAACAAAGAAACAATACTCAATAATGAAAATGTTGATTATCAGTCCTCCCCTATTTTGGGTGCATAGCAAGGTGCTAATTGTATTTTCTGGGAAGTGTGTACGTATAAGGGGCTGGTCAAGTAATTTAAGAGCCATAGAAATGTTTTTCTATCAATTTGCAAAAGTTTACAAAGGATTCTTTAGTTCCTAAGGGCCAACTGTGATTAGACAATAACTAGCTCGATATTTCTTAAGACTATAAAATAAAAGAGGCATTGACTTTCAGAGACCAAAAGCTAGGTCCTAATTTAATGTATTACTTAAGAAAACTAACATTACCTCCCATGTTTCTTGTTCTGGACTCCTGAGCACATCAATATCCACTTATGTCACATAATTTAGTTTTTCCCTAATCTAAAAATTCAGAATTAAGGATCATTACACAATGAAAACTAGACCCCAAATTTGTATTTGACATTATCACTAAAAGAGACACATACAAGGCCAGAAGTAAATAAGCATTAAATGCAGACCTCTATGATGTTACCAAGGATATGAAGAAATACTTTTTTCCTCCTGCTTTTAGGAAGAATGTAAAAGGGATAATAGAAGCAACACATTATTCTGTGCTATGTGTATGCTGACATTTGGGGGGGGGGTTACCAGGACTCAAACTCACAGCCTTGCACTTGCCAGGCAGGGCAGGTGCTTATGCCACTGAGCTAAATCCTCGGCCCTCTGCGCTATGTGTAAAGCTGTGGTCTGCAACATTTTGGGTACCAGGGACCAGTTTAATGGAAGACAATTGTTCCACTGATAGGGACAGGAGTAGTGGAGGGTTTCAGGATGATTTGAAGAAGTATACAACCTAGATCCATTGCATGTGCAGTTTTCAGTAAAGTTTATCCTCCTGTGGGAATCTACTGCTGTTGATCCAAACTCTGTTGGTAATGTAATTCGAACTGAGGGTTAACTGTATACACAGATAATGCTTTGCTGCCTCACTCCCCGCCCCGCTCCCTACTTCCTGTGTGGTCCTCTATAACCATGCTCCTTAAATCCTACAATGACCCTGTGACATGGGCATCATTACCATTGTTATTTTGCTGATGAAGAAACTAGTTCAAGGAAGAAAGAGATCAAGATTTTGTTCAAGATTTGTTAGTTACTACCTAACTAGGGAAGGTAAGACAAATGCATATGAAAAGTGAACTAATATAAGGAAGGCATGTTAGCCAAGCTACATTAGCTTTAAAAATTAATGGTCTGCCAAAAGGTCCCAAGATGCTCTGATTCCCTGCCTTCTATTTCCCTAACTCCTTCATTTTTCCACCGGTGACTTGAAGGATAATATTCAGCAATGGGGGCGTGAAGCAGGCTGTACATACATGCCTACATACTTACAGAGCTGCAGGCTGTACCTGCAGTGTGCAGAGGAGTTCTTCTAATTTTGCTCTCTGTCTTCCAGGCATCTGGGCAAACAGTGAGCAAGTACTGGAGGATCAGAGGGTCACCTTCTCGACTGGCAATGTGGAAACTGTTCCAGCCATCTTTGTTCTTAAGAAGTGGGTTGGCACCATGTTCCACAAGGTCCTGGATCACCTCAAGATTCTTTCTTGTGCAAGCCATCATCAGAGGAGTCCTAAAGCCAATCAGGACAAGCTGTCATATCCAAGACCACTGACATAAGAAGCAAGGGGCAAGGTTTTCAAGAAATGCACATCCTTGATACAGATGGAAAACCTAGAGAACTGAGGTATCTGGGAGGTACCAAAACAACTTTGGCAATTTCTTTGCTTGATATGAGGACCATGACAGGCATAATGAGGGGAAAAATAATAGTGTACCTTCAGGAGAGAGTTAATGGGGGCAAAACTGTCTATGAGCCTGATTAGGAATGAATTGGGAAAAAAAAATCCATCAACAACCCTCAAGTATATGTTTCTACCACAGTGGAGAAGATGTATTTTATTTAATTATATGAGCCTCTTTTGTGTCCCTCCTCTCTGCCTCCTTACAGAGCTGGACATGGAATCCAGAGTCTTCTGTATGTTACCACTAATCCACACCCCCAACCCTTTTCTGTGTTTCTTATTCATAGTAGATCAGGAATCACTTGAAGACAGGCACTTCATTATGTTATAAGCCTTAAAAGGTTCACACCTTCTAAGTAACCTGACATACTACTAAAGAGATGTCAATTTAATAAAATGGGATTGATTTGTGTGATGACAAAGTATTTTGACTGTGGTGGTTAAGCAAGATTACACATGTGATAATAGGACACAGTCCTCTACATACAGTGCAAATGTTAACTGATAAAAACCTAAGTATGCAGATTATGGCACTGTCAATTCAAACAATGCAACTGATGTACTCATTTCACAGATGTCCTCAAAAGAACATCACATCCTTGATCAAAATTCATTATGTTCTGTTCGATTATATTTTCTTCTGTCTCCAAAGGTGAGTGATCTCAACTATCGAAGAGTTAATCTCAAAATGCCAGGAAGGCTGGGAGTGGACACCGTGCTGTTGAGCAGGCCTGGGCAAAGAATCAGGAGCTAGGACAAGCTGTAGTGTTGAAGGGGAATGACTGACATAGTACACGAAAACATGATTCTGCAGCAAGTGGGGAGGCAGAGTGAATTTTAGAATTTTCGCCACCTACCAATCAGCCTTCTTCAGGCAGTCCACCGATGCCCCTCGATCCAGCAGGTAACACACACAGTCCCGGTGTCCCATGCTGGCAGCCTCGTGCAGAGGCCTCTTGTAGTCTCGGTTCCCGGCCTCGATGTCCATGCCCCAGGATTCGACCAGATAGGCTAGGATGTCCCGGTGTCCATGACGGGCAGCACAATGAAGCAAGGTGTCTCCTGCCAACTCCTGGCAGACTCCCGCGGCCTGCAGTTCCTCCTGCAGGGCGCGAAGTCGGCCCTCCTGCACTAGCTTGAAGAGGCGCCGCGAGTCTCCAGGCGTGGCCATCACCTTGGGCCAGGCCCAGGGCGAGTGAGTGGGACCCCAAGTACCCCCAGTTCTCAGCTCCGGGGACAAGAACTCGGATTGGCAGGGGTAAATAAGCAGGTGGCCAGGGATTCGCTTCCTGCACGTGACCCTCCTCCGGGACGCCTCACCCTACCCCTGCCAGGTCCCCGCTGCAGCCACCCCGGAGACACTCAAGCCCTTTACCCCGTGGTGGCCTAATCCCCGGTCCCTAGTGTGAGGTGATGATTCTTCTAAGGGATGGGACAGTCGTTGGTGAGCACACTCGAGGGCCACTCTTACTACTGCTCTCCAGGTGCGCGGACCCGCGTCGTCTTGGTGCAGCTCAGAGTACGTGGGTGTATCTGATATCCTGGACTGGCTCCCCGCATAGGAATAAAATGTCAGAGAGTGGGGATGCGCTACTACCTTAAAGCCATAGAGAGGGAAGGACGGGCTCACTGGGATGGGGGTAGCTCCCCGAGGGAACCAGGCCGGAGCGCGATCTGCTCCCCGCCCCCGAGCCCACGCGCCCCTTCCCCGGCAGCCTGCAGTGGGGGTGACTGCAGGGCTGCGATGCTCCGGGCCTTCTGCTGCTTGGGCCTTAAGCTGTCGAGGTCTCTCGGTGATGGAGTGGTTACTGTTTTGCTCCACCCCACCCTCACCAAAAGCCAGCTGGAAGGAACTCTGGGAAAGTTTCCCCTTGTCTCCTCGGCGCGAGCGGAAGAGCGGACGGGGCGCGGCTCATTAGCAGTGACCCCGCCCCCTCCAGGATCATATTTTTATTGGTCTAAAGAGCCGTCAGTCATGAGTTCCCTTCCTGTTGCGCGTCTCTATTGGATTTGGAGGCCGTTCGTCAGCGCCGGCGGAGGGCGCTTCTCTGGGTTGCGGCGGGGCGGGGCCCGTAGAGGAAGTCGGCTGCAGTCTGCTCGGCTGTAGGAGGCGAAGTGGGACCTTGCAGTGGGGGAAAGCTGGACTGGACGGCTAGCGTGCAGGACTGCGGGAGGCAACAGCGACCTGACCCCGCGTTCGGAACCCCATAGTGCGTGAGACCTTCGGCCTGGCAGGGAGTGCGGGCAGGTTTACGCCGGGTAGGAAACTTGCTGTCGGCGGCCCCTTGCTGTGGTTCCAGTCTTGGGGGTGCGGCCCTGGCCGCGGTGGGTGTGGGGCTCGATTCTGCGGGGAGTGCGCTGGGGAGGCCGGGGCGCTTGTGAACTCCAGCGGTGTTTGAGCCCCCAGTTTGAGCTGTTCCTTGAGGCCCTAGATTGGTCAGAGCATTTCGCCGTTTCTTGGAGTCTGCCAGAAGTGGCTAAGTAAACAGGACCGCTGGCCGAGCAGGCTTTCCTGCTCTAGTGTTTTGACCTTGGGCAAATCATTTTATGCTGCCTTGTTGCATCCTTTTCATTGATTCTCTCCCTTCCGCTTACCGGAATATGAGAAGATTAAGGTGATGTGGGAAAGCGTTGGGCTTTTGAGGGATTTATTGATATCTGAGCAAGTTACATGTGGTGATGGAAGAAATTAATTAGGTGTTGGTTTCCTTACCGACTTTTATGAAGAACTAGTTCGTCATTTAACCTGTTGTTGTTTTTAGATTCTTTGGGAGGTAAGAGTGGAATGAAACTGCCGACCTGCTATATGCCCTTTACGAGTTCGAGTTCGTGTTCTCTAAATTCGAAGAATGAATTTTAGGAACAAGGGAGGTTAGGAGTGGAATATATTTATTGTGAGAAACAAAGCTTCTGTCTGAGAGACAGGTGGGTCCTGAGTGGGTTGCCAGGGACTCTGTCTTTTAGGAACATTTATAGAGTAAAGTCATGAGGTTAGATAGGTCCAACGTGGGGGAAAGTGGGAACTCACAGATGGTCTTAAGGAGGGACAGAACTGTGGTCAACCAATAAGATTAATTGCTCAGATAAAATTGATTAAATCAGGAACAAATGGGAAGGCGAGTCGCATAGCAAACAGGCATGCTTAACAGTAGTGACCCTTCCTGTATGGCTTAGGACATTGACTTCTGATTTCCTCAGGGTGACAAAGAACTCTTTGGACTATCAGTCCTTAGAATGTGGTTATATTTTCTTTGCCATTCGTCTTGAGATGTGGCCCATAGCAGAAGGTGTTTGTCTCTTCCAAGGCTGCAAGGTCTCTGAACTTCTGCAGTGGTTCCTTTGAGGGTTCAGCCGTGTCTGACTGCCTATAATATTTCTAACTAAGGTGCCTGTAACATTCCCCGCTCTGAAGAAGTAACTTGAACTAACACGGGATGGTAATGGGCCGTGACCTATCTGGTTTCTTTAGGCTGACGGGGGTTCTGGTTGGTGATCTGCAGTCAGGGGTACTTCTGCAGAGGTTACTAGTTAATGGCCTTCAGGAGACACCAGGCATTTTCATCTTGGGTTGGTGTATAGCTTTAAATCTGGAGGAAACAAAGCCAAAGAAACAATTAAGAATGCATGGGCCAAATAATAGAATCAACAAAGATAATTATGAATATAGTTAACAAAGATACCCACGAAGAAGAACTAGTAATGGCTTCCCATAAGAAGGAAAAAGAATAAGGTCCAGGGAATTTTAGAATCTGACATGTCATTGATTTGTCATCTAGGGTCTTGAACAGTTATTGAGATATTAAGCAGAAGGATCAGGAATGTACACACTTACAGTTTTTAAAATTGCATAAGTAACTCCTATGCGGTTAGAATGTCTGATGTCATCCAAGTTGGGAGATGTCCTGTTTCATTAATTTTACCTTTTTTATTTAGGAGAGAGAGATCAGCTGTGGTGTCATTTAAGGCCTGATGAGTATAGTTAATTAAGGCCTCAATATATGTCATATAACTCTGTACAAGATCTAATGGATCTCAGTAAAAAAAAATCTAAAAGGAATCTAGCATATTATTATTTTTATCTGTGTGATGCCTTGTGGATTGGCACCTTTTAGGCAACAATAAACTTTAGTCAGAGTGTGTATAATCAAAGAATGAGCATTAGCGCTAACAGTTAAGTTTAGAAACTGTTTCTAAGTTATAGGATTTGTAACCTATTGACATTTAGGTCCCTTTCTTGATGGAGCCTGCTATTTTGTCAAAAATCCCTCTAGCTTTAGTTATAATTATCTGTAAATTTGGTTAATTTACAAGAACCAGATTAATACATTATTTTGACAAACGAAAAACTCTTAAGGTTTTATATATGAACAACAGTATGTACTATATTTGTAAAAACCAGTTTCAGCATCAGTTTGATTAGTTGGCAACTTTGAGATATATATGTGAAACAGCATTTAGACACGAAAAAAATCTCTCTAGAATTGGAGTCAGGCTTTTAAGCATAACAAAAAGGAATGAGTAAAGAGAAAGTTATCCTATTTATCCTAGTTACAGTTTAAGTAACCTATATTTTGGTGACTGTATTAAGGTACAATCCTTGGAAAGAAGACCAGAGTTGAGAAGGACAAAGACACATGTGCCAATGAGCAGCACTTGGCTGGTTTTTACTTCTTGTCATGATTATTCAGGGCTCCTCTGCGAAGATGAAAGGCAGAGATGACAGTCTGGCCAGAGGAGGAGATGAGTGCCAGAGGCCCTTCAGTTTTGCTGGACCATCTGATAGGATGGGTCTGAACTCTAGGATCTTGGCCTTGGAGGGCAGTCCTGCCTCCAGTGGTCACCTTTGCAATTAGGGCATGGCTTGGAGGCCTCTTAAGGCAGTTCCTCTTAATAGCAATAGCAGATAGGTGTCATTATTGAAGTTTTCTTGGAACCCCAAGAATCTTAAGGTCTGGATTTTTAAGGCCACAAAAAGGCAGCTGTTTTTTTGATCTCTTTGTTTTCTCTTTTTGGTTTTGTCTCAGTCCTGATTATAGAATACTAAGGAAGCAGTTTTTATTAAAAATCAAGTGAACTGTCTGGAGCAAAGGCTATCTTTTGTAGCTTTTTTCTAATGTCTGGAGTTGATTGAGTAATAGACACGTCTTTAAGCAAAATCTGTCCCTCTATTGAATCAGGATCTATGGATATATGTTTTATTAGTGCCTCTGATAAACGATCTGAGAAGTCAGAGGGGTTTTTCATCCTTCTCCTGAGAAATAGCTGACAATTCAAAATAACTAGAAGTCTTGGCTTTTGTCCTTCTTAGACCTTGGAGAATACCCATTTGAAAATGTCTCCTGTTCCAGTCTCCTGTTTTGTTGTCAGGCCACTTGGGGTCTTAGGTGGGAACTACTTGTGCACGGCCATCTAAAATTAACAATATGATATTCATCTCCAAATGCAATAGCGTCTTGTAATACTGCTTATCTCTCACTAGAAGTTCATGTTTGATTTAAGACTAACATTGCATCTTTCCAGCCTAGCTTATGTGTCTGAGTAAATCCTCTGAAGACATCTATGTATTTATTAGGATCATTGGAAAATTTTCCTAGTTCTAGCTTAATTTGCTTTAAGTTACTGAGAGAAAGAGATCTATTAATGGAAATGGACTCATAAGGATTATTATTGTACCTGGAGCATAAATAAGAGTTATCTCTTAACGCAATTCAAGTTTCATCACAAACCGTTTTTAACCATTTTTCCTCTTTCTTGCAGTATGATTTTAGTTGTAAAAGAACATCATAATTAATACTTTCCTCTGTATTCCGTTTTGGCTCTAGTGGGTAGGTAGGCCATGCACATGTGCAGAAAAATATTAGTTGGCTCTTTTTCAACATGGAAGGGTGAAACATCTTCCAGTGCTTAAGAATGAGTAAGGGGTGTTGACACTGAGTTGCTCATGTCTGTAATGTAAAAAGCAATATTTAAGGCTATGAAACCTTTTTTTGTACCAGCAGTGGATCTCAGGAACTTTCCCTGAGCTGTCTCTAGCCGTGCAGTGCAAGAGACTGACATTGAGCTATCTGCCTATGCAAAAAGGTGATAACTAACCCTTATTTTTCCTGTTTGATAAATGTCTTCAGGTTGACTCTGTTCCAGAGTCAGTGAATGCCATCTGGAGAGTAAAAGATAAATTCGACAGCCTATCCATTCTCTGCCTGGCTCAATATCTTATCTTCCCAGATAGCTCATGAACTTTGTTTCTGTTTGACATTTATGGGTTATTGTAACAGGAATGTTTAAAGAAGGAAGTATAACTTCGTAATAAACTACCGCTTTCATCCATTGCAAGAGAGCATACCTTAAAAAGGTGAGTTGCAGGTAGAGTGCTTCTCAGGTTGTAAAGTAACTTGCCTCTAGAGATAGGTAGAAGTGACTGGAAGAGCTTTGCTCAGAGCACTAGGGCAAAGAAGTCTTCAGGCACTTGTGTCTTTCATTTAACTATCTAGGCAACCTTTCCTAGTAACAGGACATGGGTATACTTTATTTAAATTTCTGTATCTTTGAAGCTCGCAGGTTAAATTTATAAATTATCATCTAGCAATCATATTTTATGTTAATAAAAGGTACATCAGTCTTCTAGGCACACAGAAAAGGCTATTCACTAGTTGCTGCTGTGAAGTGTAAGCAATTGTTGCAAGCTGCCTCAGTTTAAGCTCTAAAGGGAGAGATAGTCTAAGTGATCTTAAAATCCACTGAAAGGCTTAGGGAGAGTTTGTAGTCTACTAGTGAAGAAATAAGGATGATAGAAATGTGGAGATTTTCTATGGTTGAGGAACTAGTTCCTGTTGAGGAAACCTTGGGTTTCTTGGCCATGACCCCTCAGTTCTCATTTTGTATTGACTCAT